CCCTTTTCCCCCCCCCCCCCCAGCTAACAGCACAATCCCATCCATATTTATTTAGAAAGCTTCCAAAATTCTCTCTTCGATTGTACAGCTTCAGTCTGATGTCAGAAGGTCTGACATTTTGAGTATTTCATTGGCACCTTACAGCTTTTCTACAGAAATGCCTTACAGTACAGGTTGCCATGAAAAAAACAAACTTTTTTAAGGTAGATATTATAAACGTATTTTTGTTTTTTTGTTTTACTAGCATGTGGCTTATTTATTTATTTATTTATTTATTTGGCTATTTATTCCGTTTTGAATCTCTGCTCGGCAGAGGGTGAAAACATGTATTGTTCGGAAAGAGAAATGTGTCTTTGTTGGATTCTGTGTTTAAAGTTACCTTTGAACGAGGCCAAACAATAAAATGAAATTTTGTAATGGATCGCTTCCTCTCAATGAATTGTTCTGTTCGATTTGATTTTAGTCCTGCATCATAATAACTTCAACCTGAAGACCAGGAATACACATTTAGCATCCAAAGAATGGATCAAACAAATATAAGGATAAGACACAATCAGCAATAAACTTTTCTTCCATGCAAGGTGAAGACTCTCAACAAACATAGTTGGTTTCCATTGGCAATGGTAGGTATCCTGCCCCTGCCTTGCTTACCCCCTCCCCCCCAAAATTCTTGGACGGGCCAGGCAAGCACAACTTCTCCTTCCAAAATATGACCACACCCATTCAACTGCAATGCACCCCAAGATAACTCGCAAAATAAATAATCATGGTTCCAAGTGATTCTCCTGCTTATACTGCAGACCCTTGTTGTGATATAACCCCCTCTCCCCTCCAAAGATACTAACACAGCCAGTCTGCAGTGCCAACGCAGGACCCCAGAAATGCTGGAGAAGACCTTGGAGGCTGCAGAGATGCATGCCGCCCCACCACCCTAATTACAGAAGAGTATCAAATGGGCCCTCAGCTGATTCAAAACCTCAATCCAAAGACATGCAACAATGCTGCCTCAAAGTCACAGGATGTGATGAAATGTCACCCAGCCAGGTCTCACATCTGCAAAAGGCTGGCTGACTCAGTTGGGAGGCCTACTTAATTCTTCAGAGCAGTCACCTTCTATGCCTTTCTTGAGGGGGACATCCTTACAGGAAATCTCATGCATTTACAGCAACTCGCTTTCTCCTACATGCCTCTGAATCTCCAAAGGTAAGTTAGCATTTCCACCACTTGGGGAGAAGGTCTGAGGGGAAAGTGGGACATCATTAATGGGAGAAACTGGACTGTGGATGATCATAGCCTGACCCAAAGGCTAGCAAGAAGCCTCCTCAGACCCTTGTTGGATGTCTGATTTCTCCATCCTTTGAATGGGACCTTCCTTGGTCATTCCAAGGGAGGTGATGCTGAATCTAATGGGATCCATAGAAGGAATCCCATCTATCATCCATCTGTCTGTTTGTCTGTCTGTCTGTCTGTCTGTCTGTCTGTCTGTCTGTCTATCTATCTATCTATCTATCTATCTATCTATCTATCTATCTATCTATCTATCTAATCATCTGTTAGATTTTATTCTGCATTTGATTTAAGAGCTCAAGGCAGCATATAATACTCCCTCCTTTCATGTTTCCCTACAACAATAACCCTGTGAGATAGGTTGGGCTGAGACAGCGTGGTTGACCAAACTCATCTAGTGACCTTCTGTGGCCCACAAGGGTCTCCACACTCTCAGTCCAACTCCTTCACCATAACCCTATACTGGTTCTTGTGCTGGGAGAGAACAATTGGCCCAAAAGATCTTCTATGGATGAGGGGGAATTCCTCACCGCTAACCACACTGACTCTTGGATTGAGAGGGAGGGACAGACCCAAAATCTCCCAGGGGGCTCCCATGGCCAAAGAGGGACTAAAACAGGGTCTCACCACTCCTAGTCAGAACCTTCACTATTAGATCACACTGACTGTTGAGCTGTGAGAAAGGGTTCTTCAGGGAGTTCCTGCAGTTGAGGGAGGACGAGAATCTGGGTCTCCCCAACCTAGACCAATACCCTAATTCTATACACGTTGGCTTTCTTTTCAATGCCTGGACTGATAGCATTTGCATATATAGCTTCAATACTGAAATTGGGCTAACTAAGGGGTTTATCAGCATTAGTCATATATTGCCAAAGTTTTTAGTTTTATAGTTAAAATAATCAAAGCAGTGAGACAAAATAACCAGAACAGGTTATCATTTAGTGACCAGGTGAAGGCCCCAGATGTCATATTCATTTGAGTGTCCTAGCTGTAATTCTCCAAGTTCAAGGCTGGCAAACTGATTTACTTCTCTTTTATACCAGAATCATTCTCTTTTAATTTGTCTCTTTTTCTATTGACAGCATGGTAGGCATATTATTTTCATTAAATTGCAAATGTCCCCCCCCACACACACTATTTTTAAAATTCTTTTAGAAAGATTTCTATCACGCTTTCAATTTTAAAAGCTCTCACAAACTGAGCTGTGTCTTTCATTTCTGGATATGCTATGAGTTAATCAGTCATGATATACTGTACAGCAGGGAAACTATTCCACCGTGGATTTCCCACCCTGGGGATTTCCCCCAGATTCAGCCACTGTTCTGTGACCCAAAAGACTTTCAAAAGAGAATGATCAATGTCAAGGATTCATTTCCTTTTTCAAGCCAAGATTCACTCTTCTCTTCTTTCCTTTTATAAAAAAGCCTTGCAGTTAAGTGAGTTTCCATTTCCTCCTGCAAATGAAATAATAGCAGAAGTACAAATATCTCACTTCACTTCTTTGGGAAGAGGCTAGTCCTTGAGTCAACGGAAAAGTATGCCAGCAATAATTGCCCCGAGAGTATTGTCCTTACAGTTGCAATGCAGGCCAGGTTAAGGAAAGTGATCGGTGGATTCCCCTGGCTTCTTTCCCCTCCTACCTTCTGCTGACAGAGAAAGCCACCAATCACTTTCCTTTATGGGCGATGGGGTGGGGTTGGGTGAATGAAGCCAGGTGCCTGGGATGGAGGGTCTGAGGCATCTTTCCATTGCCCAAGGGATGGGCAGGTCACTGGTTCACAGGTGCTTCCCCTGGGGGACTTCAGTCATGCTATGTCTGGGTATCACCAGGTTCTTTTTGGAACTGGAGGCGTATTGTTTTTGCAAACATGGCAATTGGCACAGAAAAGACAGTGGTGGCTTTTTATGCTTTTTACTGTATTTACAGCAGGTATTTACAACAGGTATATACAACACAGTCCTGGTGTTCACCCGGTGTCAGGTTTCCTCCGAAGCCTCCCTCCCAGAGACTCTCCCCCTCCAGCTCTCCTGATTCCTCCCCCTTTCTCTCTGCCTCCCTCCCCCATTTCTGGGCTTCACAAGAGAGAGAGTGAGAAGAAAGGAGTGAGCTGGACTTTCCTGGAGTGTGCTCAGCACGGCTGGACTTTCTCCCGCTCAGTCGAACACCTGCTGCTTCTCGGTTGGGGAAGCACCTCTCTCGGGGATTTCTGCCCAGACTTTCCTCAGAGACCAGGGCTTCTCCACCATAGCTGTTCCCATCCTTCCCCTCTGGGCTCTTGGGTGGAGCTCTCATCCCCCTGGGTTTTCACTTCCCTTCTTCCAGGGAAGCCACCCCTGGGCCTTTCTTCTCCCTTCCCAACCAGGAACCACCAACTGCAGACTTAACTTTTCCCTCCAATTTCTCCCCAGCCACTCTGTTCACTCCATGCCCAGACTTCTTCTCTCCTCTCCTCCTCTCCTCAACTCCTCTCTCTCCAATGTTTAGGTTAGACCAGCAGCAACCGAGGAGGTGGGTGTTCCCCCAGGGCTCTAGTCCCCAGCAGCTATATACAAGGCTGGACCAGTGGGGCTGCTGTTTCCAAATCTCACCACAACAGCCCTGGCTAGTAGCCAGGTCAGTTCACCAGGGATCATGATAGACAAGCTGCTCCTCAAGGCCAGAACTGAGCTGTTTCTTCTCCTTTTACTCACTCCCATGGCTGGCTCACACTACCAGAACAGCAGCCATGCCAGGTCACTCATGGACTTTGCCCAGTGTTCCCTTCCATGCCTGTCTCCACTCCCGTGAATTGTCATTTGGGCTAAAATATGGCCATTAAAAACCTTGGCAAGAGAATCAATGAAAGTTGTGTAATGCTATTGCTTGGGAC